TTCTGGCGCGCATGCATATCCTGACATTATCGACACAGCGCTTGGCAACCAACGTTGCGCCACTTCCGACAAGCGTCGCCAGAGTACATGCTAGTGATTTCTTCTCGCTTGTGACCTGTTACACTGGCTCTATAAGTACCTGCTCCTCTCTCGCAAAGACATTCACAGTTATCCCTCCACTGTGAGATACGGTGAGGGAATTTTTATCAGTCTTTCACCTTTGTTTTACCAGAGGTGAAAAATTAAATTAATACGTTCTATTAATTTAAAAAAATATATATTTTTGAAAAATATATTTTTTTTAAATAAATTTTCGAAAAATGTATTTTTTAAAAATAAATTTTAATTAATAATTTAAAAAAATCAATTTTCAAAACCTTGGTTTTTTGTTGGCTGCCAATAAAAAATCAAGCTTTTGAAAATCGATTTTGTTTCCTTGGCAATTCCTTGGCAACTAATATTGGCCCGATGCTTGGCTACCGATCATTGGCAGTAGCGTGATCATCCCAAGTTTAAACCATTGGTGGTCCAATGATGGTTGCCAATTGTTTTGCCAAAAAAAACCATTGGGCACCAAGCATGGCCCATTATTGAACCAATCGTTACCATTGGCAACTTCCCGTTGGGGATAGATGAGACAGTAGTCCACATCATTGTCAGATGGTAGAGCCTCCTTAACATAAAGGTGCCCACAACCGGGAATGACAGTCATTTTTTAAAAAGACCAACACATTTTGTGATGCAGGATTTTGGTTAAACACGAAGGTGTATCACAAAATATAATAACAACACTGCAAAAAAAAATTAAACCCTTTCTTTCTGAACGAATCTACACCCATATGTTGCTCTTCGAAAACAATACAAAATTACTTTTTTATTTATTTAATGCAAATTTTCTTTATTATGCTCACAGCTATTACCTAAATACATATATTTGTTTCGTTATCAATACGAAAAGTCCGTATTGTCAACGAACACGACTTGCAATACTTAGTTCAGTAAAGTCTGCTTGCCGTCAAAGTTTACGTAGGGGTGCCCACAACCGGCGCACTTCCCCTACTTTTATAGTAAAAAATTTCTCGTAAAGAATTTCTGATAATTTTTACTACTTTTGGAATAAATTTTGCTACGTTCGAAATAAATTTTACTAATTTTTACAAATATTTACTTCGAACGTAGCAAAATTTACTGCAAAAGTAGTAAAAATTACCAGAAATGCTTTACCGGATATTTTTTTACTATAAAAGTAGTAAAAGTTACTTTTTATTTTTTTCCGTGTAAATTTAAACCTTTTTGAAATTGAACAACTTAGAAAAATATATATTTCTTCCTTTTTTATGATAATTTAGATGATAAAGTGATAAAATAATTATTTTATATTATAAGAATATATTGTTACTGCAACTTCTTCGAAAGTATTTTCATATTCAATTATCTATAAAATTTTAACTAAAATTTATTTTAAAACCAATTTTCATTAAACGCAACTCTTTCAAAATAAAATTAATTTTGAAATATTCATTGATTGTCATTATTTTATGATATAGTTGTTCAAGATTTAAATTATTTAAAAAGAAATTATTGTTAGAAATTAAAAACATAGAATGTTTTGTATTATAATTTGTGGTAAGTTTATAGTTTATGAAGCAGACAAAGCACACCCTAAAAAAGTAATCTTATAGTTGGAGAAAATATCCTCTTCTAATATCCTCTCAAGTTCTACTATTTTTAAAATTGTTAATTTTATTTTAAAAAGTAAGTAAGAGGTTAGCCGCTCTTTCCTGATATTAAAACTATTTTCCCTGGCCAAATTTTTTTTACAGGAAAATATAAAAGTTTACGGAAAATGAGTAAAATTTAATAATTTTTAAAAATTACAATTATAACCCTACCTGAATTCAATTATTTACTACAATTTTCAATTTAACTGTATATCTAAATCAATTATTTTAAATAATTTTCCGAAAGTTCTTCTAGAATAGTTCAATTATTTAAATACAAAAACTCAATTCTTTATAATAATTGTAACTGTCCATGTTTATTTCTTAAGTTAGTAAGATATAATATTTTTAAAACATAATAAAGACATTCTTAAAATTAATTTTTCAAAAATTAATAATTTTTCAATTATATACGATTGAAAAATTTACAAACAATTGAAATTTGGTGAAATTTTGTATTGAATTTATGAAAAATATAAATAAAAATAATCAAATTTTTGAAAACTTTTAATTGTAAATAATATGAACATGGTTTCTCCTAAATTTAATGAAGTTTAAAAAAGTACATTTTAAAAAATTGAAATTTATTTTGTTTAAAAATAATTGAATCTTAAAAAATTATGATAAAACACTTATAAGAATTAGATTTTAATAATATTGTAATGTAATTTTTCAAAAATAATTGAATTTGTTAAAAGAATTTTTGTATAATTTAAGAAAACTAATTAATTTTTTGATGAATTTTAATAAAAAATGTTGAACGTAGAGTAGAGGGGGGTAATGTAGTGCACTGACTTTACTGACTAAACGAATGAATTGAATTACTTGTCGTTGGTATGGTAGGGTTAAGGTATCAAATTATAGTAATGTATATCATTTAGGCTTTATTGTGCTTCTTCTAAAAGAAGTTGTGGCGTCACTTCAAAAACACTAGATTTCGAAACCATATTTCCGTTTTTTTAGTGACTTGAAGAAAATGTGAGGCTCGTTAAAAAAGTATCAGGAAAGTGATTTTTCCATGTAAAATTTACTTCTGAACCCAAATTTAGTATTGTTTTGACGTTTAATTTTGTTTTTATTGAGATATTGAAGTCAATGTGAAAAAAGTGCTTGGGGGCATTGTAGTGCACGGGGTTGTTGGGGCAATCAGAGTACCGTAAGTATGTATTATTTAACCATGTTTGCTTTTTGCAAATTTTTGCAGTTTTCTTTCAGTTTTATCTAACACAGGACCAAAGAAATCTCTAGTTTATAGTGCTATCCACGAGATGAGATGATACCATGCAAAGTCTTGATCTCGTCTCGGTTTTTACATGCAAAGTCTCATCTCGTGGGCATCACTACTAGTTTATAGTTTTTTAAGTTTCTTATGTCCCTAATATTATATCTAATAAAATAAAATCGTTTATAATATATTCTCTGCTTTTTATTTCACTAATAAAGTGGTGCACTACATTGCCCCACAAATTTTAGAATGTCGAAAAAAAGTGCCTTCAGTTTTTTTGATATAGAAAAGCTCCATCTACATCTACAAAAAAATAATGTACACCATAAATGTAGCTAGAAGCATTGTCTTTCCAACGAGTCCTTATTGATCAAAATTTGGTTGAAAATTGCGACCACAGGAGTCTTCGAAAGAAAAGTGCACTACATTACCCCCTTCTACTCCATGGTTTTTTTCTCAAAAATGTTAAAAATAATTCTAAAATATTATTTTTGCATGTATTAAAATTTTCGGAAATATGTTATTTAAAATACTGAAAGTATTGAATTTTGAAAAATTAGAAGCTAATTTTCATAAATTTATATTTTTATAAATTTTTATTTAAAGATTTTTTATTAACAGTTTTGATAATTCAATTATTTTAAAAATTTGCCATTAAAATTCTTCAAAAGTTGATTTTCAAAAATTGTAACAAAAATACTTGAAAAAATTAATTATTTTCAATTAAATTTTACAAAATTTAAATTATTCAAAAAGATTTTTATTATAGGTATATTTGAAAAATTTAATTATCTTAAACAATGATTCAAAAATAATTTTGCTTCCTCGTGAGGAAGCTTTGTAGTCGTTTAATTTACAAAATTTTTAAAAATCCTTTTAACAAATTTTCTTCTATATAGGACTATGTTATAAAAGACCCTGAACAATTGTCCGGATGTATGTATGTGTGTGTGGATCCCGATTTTTGTGAACACGATAACTCGAAGAGGTTTTAACGAATTTGGCTAAAATTTACCAGGTATATTTATCATAAAAATATCTCGAAATGGATTGATAGACTAAAAAATTCTCAGAACAAAAATTTTTTTTTTTCAAAAAATTTTTTTTAAGTTGGTTATTGAAGTTAATCTATAATAAAATCTTATTCTTTGCATCAAGACGAATCGATTGGTATATAAAAAGTATAAATTGTATGAAAATTTATAGAATTAAAACCATTTATAGACAAAAAATTTGAACTTTTATTCATTTTTTCTTAAAAATCATGTTGCTGTACAATAAAATGTTATTATTTATTGAAAAATGAATCAAAAATCTTATTCTTTGCATCAAGACGAATCGACTGATGTATATAAAGTATATATTCTATTGAAAATTATAGAATTAATTACAATTACAGTTGAAAAATTCACTTTTTTACTAAAATTTTTTTGTTTATTTAAATTCATATTACTGTATAAGAAAATTTTATTGTTTTTATTAAGAGGAATAAACTTTATTTTATAAATGTTAAATTGTATTAAAAATGATTTAAAAGTAAAATATATTTATCGTTAATGCTTCCTCCACGAGGAAGCAAATTTTTTTTGATGATCGTAAAGAGGAAGCAAAATGTTCATGTAATGAACATCTGGATTTACAACTTGTTTAAAAGATTTGTTTATACCTAGTTATTTTTCACACTATAGACATCGAAACAAGTTGCATTTTATAACTGAAAAATGTGGTATTTTGTTGCAATATTTAAAAGAAAAGTCTAAGAAAGTCAATTTTCCTAATTTTCCCCCCGTCATTTCCCTGACTATACTAAAAAAAAATTTATTTATACACACATACATCAGGACAATTGTTTCTCATGTCGAAATATGTATACCACGCTTAAAAAATTGTAAAAATAATTGATTTTAAGTTTAATAATCGACATCACTATAGAACTTCCTATGACGAAGCAAAATAATCTATTTAACATTTGTGAAAATTATTCTACTTCTTTTCACATATAATACACGTAAATTTATAGGTTTATAGTGATAGAAAATTAAAAAACAACAAAATGTTAATAAATATATATTAGTTTTATTTCTATAACAATATACGCTTTTATCGGTAATATAATAATGACTCACTGTAACGCAATGGAGATTTATTTATGATATTTTGATTTTTGTTTTAAATATATAATATGTTTATGTAAATAATAAGGCACATCTGGATGTTCATCAATCTAAGATAATAAAACTTAAAGAATAAAATGTCCCAAAGTTATGCTTTTTTTAATTTAACTTATCAAATTTATAATTTAATCAGATAAATTGAAATAAATTGACGAAAAAACACTGTCGTATCTTGTGTAATAAAAATATCCAGAACGATAATATCTTACATCCTAACTCTTGGAAATACCAAGTAGCAATTTTGCTAAACTATAAAAAGTAAATTGGTCGGTTGGGGGGGACATTGAGAAATAGGCAAGTTGTGTTAAAAAATCTAGATGCTGCACTCACAATGACAAAATTGATAATTAAATAACATCTAAAGTGATCATTTGACATTCGAAACTTTTGTTCGCGCATAAAATTTGCTCTCGCAAAAAAATACATCAATTCATTTCTCGTTTTTTTCCATATAAGGATTTCGATTTTCAATCTAAACTTCTACTTTATAAGGTGATCCAGGAATATGATCGTCACCCCATTTTACAATAACTATATATTCTCCTCGTTCACGTACTAAGTAGCTTACGTTATAGTTATTTCTTCCCGCGTGTTTCACATAAACTTCCTCGCAAGGGCCTTTAGGTCCATATACACCACAGTACAAAATGTTGTTGCCTGAAACAAATAATTAAAATTAGTTTTTAAATCATTTATATCATTTTCTTATAAGTCGACTCAATATGAATATTAAAATAATAATTTTTCAAGAAGCTTATTTAATAAACATTAGGCATTCTTTATCAATTTATGGAAAAGATAAAAGTGGGCTATGAAATTGGCGTTAATTCTGAGCGTCAAAAATCATTTCTTGCGTGGAACCAAAAAATCGACCATTTTTTTTAAAAATTTCAGATTAAAAGCGTGCCCTAAAAATTTTTAACTCCCCAATTGAATCGAAACTTGGAAATTAGTAACATTTTCATTCTTAAAAACCTAGTGAGATATTTTTCGATGCATAGAATCGACGCCAACTTCAGGAATCTGACAAAAGAAAATGATTTAAATTTTGAGAGGAATTCAATGGCTATAAAATAAAATCGGTCAGAAAATATTTTGACCATTTTTGAATTTTTATTTTTCTTAAAAATTCATAGATTTTAAAGTCCATCCGTAATTATGTAAAAAATATGTCTTAGTACCTTCTAATAAAAAAATTGCTGATTGAAAACATTTATTTTTACTATTTTTAAAGCATTTTCTTTATAAAAATTATTGTTTTTAGGTTAAAAATGATTTTTTATATGAGAATTCATTTGTTTATTTTTCTAACTAATTTCAAACCATAATTTTTAAAAATATATCTAAAATATAAAAAAATTATGATTAATAAATTATGATTTGAAATTAGTTAGAAAAATGAACAAATGAATGTCCAATAAAAAAATTGAAAAAATTCTAACAATTTTTAAGAAAAATAAATATTTAAAAAGTGTCAAAATATTTTCTGACCGATTTTATTTTATAACCATTAAATTCCTATCGAAATAATTTTATAGAAGATTTAGATCATTTTCTTGATATTTAAATGTTTAAAAAGTTTTGATAAAATAACTGTAAACTAATCGTTAAAAGACGATTTTACAATTTTTGAAGCATTTTTCCATTTAAAAAAACTTTGTTTTTAAGTTGAAAATGCTAAAAATTATCATTATTATTCAATTTTTTATTTGGAAATTCATTTGCTTATTTTTCTAACTAACTTCAAATTATAATTTTTTTTAATAAACATATAATAAAATATTAAAATAAATAATGATAAAATTATGATTTGAAATTAGTTAGAATAATAAAAAAATGATTTTTTCAGATTTTAAAAGTAACAAACAATTGTATTTTTTACATTTTCAACCTAAAAACAAAATGTTCTTTTTTTTACAAAAGAATGGTTCAAAAATAGTAAAAACTTAGTTTTTAATTCGGCAAATTTTTCGTTAATACAAAAACATATTTTTCACAAAATTACTGATGAATTTTACATTTTATCAATTTTTAAGAAAATAAATTTTTAAAAAGTGTAAAAATATTTTCTGACCGATTTTATTTTATAACCATTGAATTACTATAAAAAAATTACTATAAAAATGATTTTATAGAAGATTAAAATCAGTTTCTTGGTATAGTGATAAATATACATAGTCGAAACTTTTATTAAAATAAAAATTTTAAAAATTAATTTTTCTCAAAAGTTTATATTTTTAAAAAGTTTGTATAAAATGACTGTAAAATAATCAGTAAAAGATAAAATTATGAGACTTGTTTAAAAAAAAAAATAATAATAATAGAAAATTATTCATAAGTTCTCTAACATTTTTTTAAACTTATTGACTAAAAATTCTCAAAAACTCGGTGTTTAAAAAAATTATCATTTTTGTTATTTATTTCTGTTGTAAATGTTTTTAAAAATTCTTACATTTAATTTTAATGAAATGGTTTTAAAAATTTTTTTAGATTTATTTTAGAGCACTAAAATAGCTCTAAATTTTTGTATCTCCAAAAAAATCACTGAATGAAAAGCTTGATTTTTAAAATTTTTGAAGCATTTTTTCATTGAAAAGAACTTTGTTTTTAGGTTGAAATTGATAAAAAAAATTAATAAGGACGGTCAAAATATATTCTGACCCTTTTTGGATTAATATTTTTCTCAAAAATTGATAGATTTTAAAATCCATCCGTAATTTTGTAGAAAATATGTTTTTGTGTCTATAAAAAATTACCGAATAAAAAAATTGATTTTTATAAGTTTTGAAGCATTTTTTTGAAAAAAGTATTGTTTTCAGGTTAAAAATAATAAAAAATATCATTGTTATTTAAATTTTTATATGGAAATTCACTTGTTTATTTTTCTAATTTCAAATCACAATATCATAATTTTGTTATATTGTGATTGGAAATTTTTTAGAAAGATAAAAAAGTGAATTTCCATATAAAAAATTGAATAATAATGGTATTTTTTATCATGTTCAACTTAAAAACAATTTTTTTTCCAAAAAAAATGCTTCAAAAAATTATAAAAATCAATTTTTTTATTCGTTAATTTTTTTGGTGATACAGAAACATATTTTCTACAAAATTACGGATGGATTTTAAAATCTATCAATTTTTGAGAAAAATATAAATCTAAAAAGAGTCAGAATATATTTTGAGAAATTTCTTCATTTTCTGACTATTGATTTCCCCTCAAGAAATTATTTTAAACATAATTTTATGGAAGATTTAAATCATTTTCTTGCGATACAGTTAAAAATTCTCCCCTTAAGCTGTCAGTGCCATACATTTTTAAAAATACTTTAACAGCTTTAAATTGTTGAATATACGGCAATAAATTAACACTAAATTCTGTGATGATTTCATGAAAAAATTAATTATAGATACTTAAATATATTACATTAGATTTATTATAAATACTCTCAGTTAGAAAAGTAATCAAGTAAAATGATAATATTATTTACCTGCGTCTGTAGCATTGACAGTGAATTGATTTTGTTTTCCTAGATAAGCTTTTTTCAGTCCCATGCCTTTACTTGATACTTTACTGGCATCAGATTTGAAACGTGGAAGAATTGGACCGGCATTTTTTGACTTGGATATTTTTTGTACAGTTTCAACAACAATTGTGCTAGTTTCTTGAGCTCCCCTCTCAGCTAAGTCTTTCCCTGTAAATTAATTTTTAAAAATTTTAATTTTAATTAAATATAAACATTGTTTTGATCAGAAAGAAAAAATGGCAAAGATAATGAATTTACCTGTCGCTGTAACTTTATAAGGCGATCCAACAGTATGATATCCGTTATATTTGATGCTGATGTAGTAATCGCCAGGAACTAAGGGGGTGTACCTGACTTTGTAGCCTTCTTCAACTTCAGTGCAATCCATCGCAACTTTGCTGGGACCGTCGACAGTGACTCCGAGAGCTCCAGAACCAGCATTACACGTGTCAATAATAAAATCGGTCTTTTGTCCTGTTTTCACTTCGGACAATCCATTTCCATGGACGTGGATAGCAGCCGGATCAGCGTCCACTTTGCCGACCTTCACTCTAAACGGACTTCCGTTTATGTGAACTCCATTGAATTTAAGATGGATATTGTGGACTCCATTCTCATGGGGCATAAACCTCACCGAGTATTCCTCAGAGTCAATGGCTTGGATGAAACAGTCATCCTCAACTCCACTGGGAGAAACGATCTAAAAATCAGTTAATTATTCAATTTATGTTCAGATTCAGACCATAACCAGAAAGAAATATTGGCGGGTAAAAATTATTTTTGTTTTCAAAAATATTGATAAATTGGTCCCCTTCACAATAAATTCGCAACTATCTAATTACCAGGGCTCGAACCAGTGAAAGTATTTAAAAATACGGACTTTACGGACCAAAAATAAAAAATTACGGACCATTTACGGACCAAATGCTGAGTGCTGACAAAAATATAACCAGTCCGAGTCAAATAAGAGAACATTTTACTTAAAACTAGAAATTAAATTTTTCATAACTATAAAACATGAAGATATCGATCACTCCGAGTCTTCGACTCGGAGTAATCGCTTTCTTCATGTTTTATAATAATTTATTAAAGATGGCCGACTAATGAAATTATTATTTTATATTATAAGAATATTGTATTTCTTGAAAACTATTTTCATCACTTCAATTTAACTTTTTTTAAAAGAATTTTTAACTAAAATTCTATCTTTAAATCAATTATTTTTAATATTTTTCGAAAAGTTCTTTGACAATTTTCAAAAATCCATTTTTTACAATTCAATTTTACGAAATTACAATTATTCAAAAATTCTCCAATTAAATATATTATATTAAAAAATAACAAAACTTCAAAAAATTTTTTAAAAAAATTCAATTAAACCCTTTGAAAAAAATTAATTTCACAGAATTATTAGTTAAAATTTTAATAACAGAAATTAATTTTTAAATCAATTTTTATTAGAAAATTCAACGAGAATTCAATTATTTAAATAAAAAATTAATAACTTATTGAACAATTGAATGTTTCTTTAAATTGAATTCTCATAAAAAATTTTATCAACAAACTTTTCAGGATAATTAAATTTTTCGAGGAATTCGATTGAAATTGTATTAAATGAAATTGAAATTCTGCAATGAGTTTTATTATTTATGAAAATAATTAAAATTTTCCAAAGAATTTTATTAAAAAAATTTTTTAAATAATTGAATTGATATGAAGAATTTTATAAAAATAATTTTATATAATCGATTTTTTTCGAAAAAAATTGATGAAAATTGTGTTTGTTCGAAAATAATTAAATTTCTGTGAAAATTTTATAAACGAAAATAATTCAATTCCTGAATAAGTTTTATTTATACACAAATTTTTTTTTTTTCTTTAATCAAAAATTTAAAAAAGAAAAAATTTTTTTTTCTCTTTTGAATAAAATTTTTTTTTTTTTCTCTAAAAAGAGTTTTATTATTTACGAAAATGATTAAATCGCTGTACAAATTTTATACTATTTATGAAAATAATTAAATTGTTGACAAAAAAAATTTATAAAAAATTTACAAATCATTGAATGTATGCAAAGATTTTTATCAAAAAATTTGTTAATAATTTAATTTCTTCGAAGAATTTTATTATTTATGGAAATAATTGAATTTTTAGGGAGAATTTTATTAAAAATTTTCATAATCCTAATTAAATTCTTTTGAAGAATTTATTTGAATTTCTTTAAAATAATGGAGTTTCTTTAATAATTTTCATTGAAAATTTTCAAACTAATTGAATTTTATATAAACAATTTATTTCAAGTTTTTTACAATAATCGTGTTTCTTAATAATTAAAATTAAACATTTAATTCTTGAATTTTATTTAAATTTTTAGAAAATAATTTAATTCTTTCGAAAAATTTCTTTAATTTATTGAATACAATCGAATTTTTTTAATGATTGTATTGAAAATAATTAAATTCTTACTATGAATTTTACTAGATACTTAAAAAAAAGAATTGAATTGTTTTGAGGGATTTATTAAAAATTTTAGAAATTAATTACATTCTTTCAAAAAATGTTATTAAAATTTTTTTTTTAATTTGAATTCTTTCATGAAATGTTATTAAAATTGTATTCTAAATTGTAATTGAATTTTTGGGTAAAATTTTATTAAAATTTTTGAAAATAATTGAATTTCGGAGAAGAATTTTATTATTTATAAAGATAATTGAAATTTTGACGAGGATTTTTAAAAATTTTTGAAAATAATTGAAATTTCGCCATGAATTTTATTGCTTTAGAAAATAATTAAATTTTTGCAATTATTTGGAACTTTTCAAAAATTTTCTAAATTATATCGTTAAATTTACGAACTTTTATTGCTTTTTCAATCAAATTACGGACTTTAAGGATCTTTTTTAAAAAAAGGGACTTTTACGGACTTTAAACAAATTTACGGACTTTTACGGGATTTATGGATCTAGTTCGAGCCTTAAATTACACTTCTACATTAAATTAATTGACAAATTGTTCCCCTTTCGAATAAATTCGTAACTACCATCTAATTAATACAATAAATAAAATTCAATTAATTAGTAAAATTTAATAAAATTTTGAATTTACAATTTTTAGTTAAATGTTTCATTAAAATTCGACTTTGGTAAAAATATTCGCTTTTGCATTTTTCTCGCATTAAATTCTTCCCACGTGTTATGATATAGTATGTTCATTTCGTAAGAGAGGGGAAGCTATATTTAAAATGTTTTGCGATAGAAATAAACTTAGCTTTAAAAATATAAAGGTGTATGCAGAGTCTTGGAAAGGCCAATTAAAATGTTCATCAAATTATATAAAAAATTTACCAAAAAGTATTTGAAATTAATTTACCTTTCCATCGAGTTGTCCCTTGGCACCATTGTTGCGAACAAGGAAAGTTGCCGGTTTGTCAATTTGTACTCCGGAATCAGGAAATTGAGCTATTTCAACCTTGTGAGCATCTCCCATTGCTGGAGAAATGTAAACTCTATGTGGAGAATCCGGGATGTGTTGATCATTGAATTTAATTCCCACTCTGTATTCACCTGAAATTACAATACTCAAATTAGCTCAAATCGAAGTAATTATTTAGATTCCATAACTTTTACATAATTGTTCAAAATCAGTAGAAATCATTAAAATTTTTCATATTATTTTTCTGTTGTATACTTAGTTAATTATAATAATAAAGGAAATTACAATTACAATTTGAATTACAATTAAAATTCCAGAAATAAATTGAATATCAAGAATAAAAATAAGTTTATTATCAAAAATTGTAATTAGGTTGTAATTATGATTACGATATTAGAATGAAATAGAAAAACTAGTCAGCAAATGTTATAACAACTATGCACTTAAGAGTTATGATTCATTATCGTAATTATAAAGTGAATGAAGAAATGGTAATCAATGATAAAATCAATTAAATATTCTCTGTGCTGAAAAATTAGAAAATGGATTATTCATCATATTCGCCTAACTGACCGTCATCCTCTGAATCTTGACTTGTATCGTCTGAGATTGTAAGTTGAGTACACGTCGTGAAGGTGCTCATCTTTAAGAAGTGAGAAATTAATCAAAAATCTTTTTCTAATATCCGAGAGAAGACACTATTGAAATTGACAAATGGGAAAGAGAAGAAAAGTTAAATGACGAAATTAGAAGAACTTAATAAGAGACAGTAAATAAATGTAGCAAAAATTCAAAGATATAAAAGAGTGAAAGGGGAAGAAAAACAAAAATAAGGGAAAAGAGGCGAGTGCCGCTGTAGAAGCGGAGATTGGTCGCGCACCACTATACTTTTCTCCAACCGAACCTAATTCTCAAACTCAAATATTCTTCTTCAGCGTTTTTCGTTCTTGTTCTCTCTCTCTCTCTCTCCCTCTATTGGCTCTCTATTCGCACTCTTGAAAATTGATATTCTTCTCTTTCTTCTTTTTGGCGACCCAAATATAATTCGCATTCAGAGCGACGAGGCAACAAATATATTCATGCCACCAAAATATGAATCTACCTTAGTAAATATAGTCGATGATATTTTGGGATCATGAAGAGAGGAAGGGTTAAGATGATAATTCACACTAAGTTGAAGAAGAAACTTAGTCAAAAATTTCCAAGATTGATAGATAGATTAATCTTCGAGACCATTCACATATTTCAACTTGCTCAAGTTTGTCAACCGTTAAAGATTGGAAATTATGATTAATTTCCACCAGAAGGACCCTTTTTGCTAATTTTCTCCATCCGTTTGTAGAATTGAAAGAAGAATAAACAATAAGAGATTTAATTTAATTTCACGGTTGATTTCTGTATGATTGTTCTTGACCTATTTGTTTAAAAATGTAATACTCATCCCTGGCATGAAAAGAGTTTAATTTAAGAAGGAGATTCCATTTCATCAACATCCTTGCCAGTAATCTTACATTTCTTGTCAAGTTGCCAAACAATTTTCCAAAAAATCTCAAGAGACTCTGCATTAATGGAATTGAATAAACAAAATTTATCAATGGCTTGACAAAAGTTCAATACCTTTATTTACCATCAAAGTTTTATTAGTGATTCATCAGTATCATTCCTTGAATAGTGGAGAATAATCCTTATATGAAAAGAGTAGATATGCAAATTAGGTAAAGGAAGATATTCTTATGGTCATTCTTATGGTATTCGTTTTGGAAAAAGGAAGAAAATACATAGTGGAATTTGAAGATATTCTTATATCAAAGTCTACAAGTAGACAGAGTGAGGAAGTGTAAGATTTTTAGTCTTATGTCATTTTGAATTGTCGAGATAGAGAAGTACAATGTTAAACGAAGAAGTTGCCTTGGTGTGAGAAATAAAGATTTCCGTTACCGCCTGAGGAACGTGTCAAGTTTTATACTTTTATCTATAGTCTTCCATTCGATGAAGGGAGAAAGAAAATATCACTTGGGTTCTCGGAGTTAATCCTCATTTACAAAGGCTATTGTTCAAGTATTCGTATTGTTTGTGGTAATCCTTAAGCTAAATTTAGGCAAATAGAAAAATGCACTTGTGGAAGACGTTCATTTTTCTATTTGCCTGGATTGATTTATGCAATTAGCTTCTAGGATTAAAATTAACACAACTGAAATGAATCTGTACTGCCTCATAATTTACCTAGATCTGGCAAGAGTCCTATTGGCATGTGGACTAACTAAGAAATCCCATTGGTAAGAAAAGGACGAAGTCTATCCTTTTCTCATTAATGAAATTTAGTTAGTCCACAGTCACCAGGACCCCTGTCGAATAAAACAAATTTATAAATAATTAAGTAAATTAAAAAGCACTTAATTACATTTTAAAGTCGTAATGTAAACTTGCCTGGTTCGGAAACTACGTAACTGACGTAACAACTGCCATCCTTGCGATCCTTGAAGTCGATCTGAGCTTTGCTGGGACCCTCAACAGACACAGCGAGTGTTCCTGCTCCGGCCTCTCGAGTCCAGATATTAAACTCGCAAGGCTCACCCTGCTCTCCCCTCTCGAGTCCAGGACCTCCGGCGTGAACTCTGTGAGCTCCACCGTCCCTCAGTGGACCAACGGTGAATTGGAAAGGTGATCCAGGAATGTGCAATTCCTTGTATTTAACGGACACTGTATGTACACCAAGTTCCTTTGGCACGAAAGCAACGGCATAAAGACCATCCTCGATTTCCTTAACTTCAGCGTCTTCAGTGACACCGCCCGGAGAAGTGACCGTTGCCGACAGGTCAAAGGAAGTAATTCCAGGCATTTTAAACGTAAGTTTGCATTGACTGCCAACTTCCGTAATAGGAACAGCTTCCCTTTGTCGTTGAATCTTTTCCCTCTGACGATTGCTTCCTTCTCCGGAAACCTTGACTGTGAAAGGCGAACCCTCGACATGATGGTCGGCGAATTTCAAGTTCATGATGTAATACCCTGGTTCGGTTGGCTTGTACGAAATGTTTAATGTGCCGTCTTCGTTGTCTTTGCACTGGATTTCTGCTTTACTCGGTCCCTCCATGGAGAGGGATAAGCCACCGTATCCGGCGTTTCTCGTATCGATGGAGAATGTATTTTCCACGTGAGTCTTTCCTTCCTTGAGGGCATTGCCTTTAACTTTGACTTTTTTCGCGTCACCAACTTCACGATCCTTAACGTCTATTTTGAAAGGCGAATTGGCAATGTGCTTGCCCATTCGTTTTACCGCAACTGTATGTTCTCCAGACTCGCGAGGAGTGAAAGAGACACACATGTTTCCACTAGGCAACTTCTTCAGGAAGCATGGCTCCTCCAAACCACTTGGAGCTGTGATCGAGGCATTTAACGATCTGATATCTTCGTCGGATACTTTTCCTGGAAGCTGAACTTCACTCGAAGATCCTACTGATATTTGGTTCCTCTTGCGACCCTCGCCTTTAAAGAATTTACAATGTATTAAAAATTTGGTGCCAAACTAATACAAAATACAAAAAATAGTAATAAGTAATAAAAAAAATAGCATCCTAGAAAGCTTACCAGTAATTTTGGCAACGTAGGGACTGCCTCTAATGTGCTTATCGCCGAACTTAACAGTGATCTTGTATTCTCCGGGCGCTGTTGGTAGATAAGAAACAGAGACTGTTCCATCTTTGTTGTCGTGGCAGGAAATTTCAGCTTTGCTAGGACCTTCTACGGCCATAGACAATCCACCTGCGCCTGCTCCTTTGGTGGAGATAGTGAAGTTTCCAGGTTCACCACAAACGCCGTAAACTAAGCCAGGACCATAAGCCGTCACATATCCACTTGCTAAAGAATCTACATGGAACTTATAAGGGGATCCTGAAATAGAAATACATATTATTATAGCTTATATTGAAAAATTATCTAACGTAAAAAAATAGAAGAGTTTTCTGAGACGTAATTAGGTCATAATTAGTTTTCAGAGAAATACTGAGGCTCTATTAAAAATACCCATATATTCCATCCCTCTTACAATAAAATATTTTTTTTCGTCATTATACATTTGAGAAAATATACTAAAACTTATTTGATGCGAGTCAATGGTTATTCCAGGGTTTTTCAGATTTCTGAATCTAAATTTGATGTTTAATTTAAAAATACACTGTACCATAAAACAATAAAAATCATATCTTTAATTTCTTTAAACAGTGATAAAATATTAAAGTGACAAATGATATCTACATTTTTTCAGGGTCGCTGATTACCAATCTAATGTCAGATTTTTTAAATTCAAAATGGCGGATCCAATATGGCGGACCGAAAATTTTAAATTCAATGGATTTTTATCAAACTTGGTACCTAGGAGTTTTTGGGATCTCTGATTATGAATCTAAGGCTAGATTTTCAAATTTCAAAATGGCAAATCCAATATGCCGGACCAAAATTTTTAAATTTCATAGATTTTGATGAAGCTTTGTATCTAAGAGTTTTCGGTGTCGCTGATTATAAATTTGATATTATATTTTCATTTTGCAAAATAGCGGATTCAATATGGCGGACTGAAGTTTTTTAATTGAATAGATTTTTATTAGACAAGTGGTTTTGAATTTTGCAAATCTGGCATTAAATTCGTAATCTGCGGCACCGAAAACCCCTAGATACTAAGTTTAATAATAAAAATGAAGCAATATTTTAAAATTTTTTCAATCCGCCATATTGGATCCGACATTTTGAATTTTGAAAATGTAACATCAGATTCGTAATCAGTGATTCCAAAAATCCTTAGGTACCAAAACTTCATAAAAATCCATCAAATTAAAAATTTTCGGGCGTTAAAGGATTAAAAATAGACCGAATTAGTGTGAAACTTATTACTCGAGGGTTTTTGAAGTCGTTGAATTCAAATTTGATGTTAAATTTGCAAAATATAGAAATTGGCATATTCAATAGGGCTTCTCAATGTAACATAAATTTTATTAATCTATAGAATGTATTTGAAAAACTGACATCAAATTTGCAATAAGCGACCCCAAAAACCTCTACATAGTGATTTTCATAAGTGTTGCTGCATTTCTTAAATGTTAATTCGGTAAATTGGTATTTTTAATTTTGAAAATCTGACTTTGGATTTGTAATCAGCGACCTAACTTTATCAGTGTAAGTTTAAAAATAAAAAATTTATTTAGTAAAAATTGTAAATCACAGATCATTTTTTATTTTTAATGTAGTTTTTAACGTTTTAGTATTTTTCTACCCATTAAAAATTTAAGATATCAAATTTTTAGAATTTTTTTGTACTATTACAATTAATTGTATAATTAATTCTGAAAATTATATTTTAATCAATTTTAATTGATAATTTTAGTTTTAATTTAGTAAACACAAAATTTTAAACATCAAATTTATTTACAGCGATATTCAACCGATTAATTTAAATTTTTGGAAGTGTGAAACAAATATTAAAATAAGTGTAACTTTTACGAAAGGAAAAATATAGTAAAGTGTAAGATCCAGATTTATCAAATCTATTTTTTTAACTTTAAAGTTCAACACTCCAGTTTTCTCCGTGTGGAATATTGTATGGTTAGGATGGGGAGTGTAAAATGTATTTAAGGTAGAAATGGAGGAGGGAGAAGAAGGCTGAATTTGACATAGATAAGGTAGAGTGATAGAATGTTGAATAAAAAAATTGGTTTCCATTAATTTATCTGTTTAAATTGATAAATAGATAATGTCTTTTTTGAAACGATGAACGACAATTTAATAATATGTCATTTGGCACGATTGTACATTTGTACACGAAAATACAAATGAACCTGGATTGTATTTAATATTAATTGGCTTGGGATTATGTGATTCGTGCTGACAATTAGTTAACATAAATTGCGGACAATTAATGATGACAATCTGAGAGAAATCTTAAGCACAAGTGTAAGCAATTTATCGTCTTAGTTTTAGTTAGTCGGTCCTTTAATTAATAACCTCACTGAAATAGCTTTCAAGTTAGTTGTTTGAACATTCAATTTATTATCTCAACAGCTAATTTACAATTAAAAATTATTTATCCAGAAATAAGTCAAGGTTCAACTTCGATGATTAGTAGTTTCAGACTAATTGAAATTTAGAGGGTAAGTAATTTATAAAAAGACATAAATTATTTTTTAGTTTTAAAGGAAGTTACCTGGAATATGTTCGCCATTAAATCTCACAGAAATTTCATGAAGACCTTCTTCTCTTGGATCGTATTTGAGAGAAACAGTGCCATCATGATTGTCTTCAATAACAGGTTTGTCAATGTTTCCACTTGGCATCTTTACTTCAGCTGAAACAGTTGATAAGAACCAGAGTTAATAACTGGAGAAATACAGCTAGTAATTAAAAAAATTTGTTTACTAGTTTATAGTCCCAGTACTTAACATGTAAATTTATTGTAACCGCCTATAAGATTGATACTTAGACCGCGGCTTTCTTTTATATCTGTGATTATAATATTAAACTAATTGTTCTGAACTTTATTATCGTACATTTTAGACAAAACATAACAACAGACAATATAAACATTTAATAGATCTGACTTTAGGCTGATTTTGTCTAACCATTAGCAAAACTTTGGAAAGGATAGTTAAAGAACTTTTTCAACTCTTCATTGGAAGACCACTTATTAATATGTGTCCCAAGTTAAAAATTCAACTACTTTAAAAAAAATTAAGAGGGAATTCATTGTCTAGTGTTTTTATTAGTCTAGTCTATTTATTTATCTAGTGGTAACATAACTCAAAAAACTTTTCGCCTTTTTTGAAAATCTGACGGGGTTAGAACTGAAAGAGTTTTTAATGATCTTTTGATTGATTAATTTTACTTTTTAACATTTTAAAAATTTGACCATAATTTTTTATAATTAATATTTAATCTGATATTTTCACCAACATTGGTCTGATTCATTTTAAAATAAATTATTGCAAACGAAAGCTGATATTTTTTTCATCGATTTAATAATTTTTAAAACCCCGATTTTGATTATTGCATTTAAAACTAAATGTAATAAGTGCAATCTTTTACTTACATATATATGTTCTTTAATTAACCAAAAGCATTCATGTCTCTTATACTTATTAATTAATAAGAAGACTGTTTATTATCAGGTACGTATATCATATTAATTTTCGACTCTTTAAATAAAATATTTGCTTTTATTTGATAATATTAAACTAAAAGCTAAATTTAAACTCTAGGGTCAAGTATAAGTAAAAATATGCATTTTTTTTAAATTAACGAAATTCAATTTCTTCGAGTGTTAAGTAATAACAATGTCATCGACGAATTCAATGATAATGAAGGTTTCGGGGTTAAATGATGTGAATGTTTATAAAAAATGGCGAAAGTAAGTATTTCAAGTTTTTTTTAAATAAACATTTTTTAAAAATGGCAACAATATTTGAGTAATTTTTGAAAAATTGATAAATATATTTTCAATCACAATCACTGTTGACAAAGTGTCTAGCGATTCGTCAATTTAAAATTCCCGGGTTTTTCCCGGTTTTTTCCCGGGTTCTTGAATAATTTTCCCGGATATTCACAAAGGATTTAAAAACATATTTAAATGTTTATCAATAACATTATTTACGTAATTAAATATTGTTTTTATTAAATTACAATCATTAAAGTTATACAATAATTTCTAAAAACTTGACATAGAATATCAAAATTTCACTTATAAAAATTTCTCAACTTTATAATATAATTGTCAATTCAGGGGAATTTAAGAAATTTATTAAATTTTACAAAGATGTCAGAGGTTGAAGTGTGAAAAAATTTGAAAAAAAATTCCGCTCGGTACATACATTATACCCTTTGAAATACTTGTAAAATTTAATTAATTTCTCAAACCATGAATTGCTCATTATAATGTTTACATAGAATTAAACTAGAATATTTAAGCTTTATTTTGACATAAGTTTCAAGAAAATCGGATGCGACGTGTTTTAAGATATTCAAAAAGGTTATCTTTCAAACTTAATTTTTTTCATAAATTCTATTATTTAAAAAAAAAATTTCTACCATTATAAAGTTGAGAAATTTTTGTTTTAAAACCACTAATAGTAAATAAAGTTTGGCTTCAATAAATATAAGAAATAATGATTTAAAAATTGCCTTACAATGTCAATTGTTTATAAGAAGGATCGTTTTCAAATGGAATGCCCCATATTTAGTTTTAAAAAGTAAAATCTTTGCCTTTCCTATATCACAGAAGATTCTTAATTTCTTCTTATAAAATTTGTTACGTATTGTATACCTATAAATTGTTATATAAAAATAATAATAGTAAAAATCCTTTAACTTTTATAATATAACGTATACTAAAGTTAGTTTTAAATAAAATTTAAGTTATTATTTTTACTACTGCTTCATACTATCAATTTACCCTTGACGATTTGAGCTGTGACCGTGTTATTATTTTACGCTTTGAAAAAAATTATAATTTTTTATATACATAATTCAAAAAATACCCTATAAATAAAAAATTCCCGGGGTTTTCCCGGTTTTTCCCGATTTCCCGGTTCGCTAGACACCCTGCTTGAATTTATGAAGAAAAATTTATTATTAGAAAAAATTTTCAATTTAAAAACATTTAAACAAAAATATCCAAACTTATCTAAAATGATTTACAATTTGTCTACATCAAAGGATTTTGTCCCTCATTTATTAATAGGCTTTTTAAAAAAAATTATTACAATTTTAATATAATATTTGTTTTTATTGATATTACAGCATCGGTTGCCATGGTAACCGTTTCCATAACACCAGTTGCTATGGTTACCGTTTTTGTAGAAACTGTTGCTATGGTTACCGTTTTAAGGTTTACCATATCCATAACAACTGCGTCGCAATATTTATATTATATTATATTAATTTATATTTATATTATATTTGAAAGAAACCATCATACATTTTTGTAGCATTATATTAGGTTCATAAAAAGTACACTGAAAAAATGTATTTCTGTTATACATGCAAAATGTGGACCAATACTACCATACTGTATTGGTATGATATACAAAAAACATAGTTGATCTGTTTTAGTCTTATGAGCAAATCTACGGAACTGCATGATTTAACGTAGTAAATATAAAAAATTTTAAATTACAAGCACACATTTTATTTATAGACAATTATGTTAAGGATAAATTTAAAAATCGTAATTTTTCATGTGAATCCTTTTCTTTTAGTGAAAAAAGTTCTGACCAAAATTTTTTTTTTCAAAAATTCATTATTTAAAACGACAAAATAAATTAAGACTACTTAAGCTTTAGGATAAATTCAGGTCAATTATTTTAATAATAAAAGTTATTAAAAAATTGTACATATTTAACGTTTTTAAATAATATCTATTATTCACATAAACATTTAACTTATTGTATATTATTTTCAAAAAGAAAATTATAAATCAGGCACTGGATAATTAATACAAACAATGTTGGTGAGGGTACCAATGTCGGTGCCGAAACGTTCAAAAATTAATATACTTGATTATTGAGCATATTATGAATTATATAAATTATACAGTGTAATCCTGATTTTTAATTTTCTTTTTAAAAATAATACAATAATAATTACTCGATGGAATCACTAAGTTTTATTAAATTAAACCTATTATTCTTCAATCTGTAAGTGTGCCATTAAAATTACTTACAAATTTATAATCGTTCGCTAAAATAACAAAATAAAAAAATCTTCAAAACCAATTCCGTAGATTTGCTCATATGCAATGTGGTCTAGTCATACGTATGAGAGAAATAGAATTATGTATAGGAAGAATACCAATACTGTATTTAAAGGACACCAATAGTGTTTTATTAATACTAACAATAATCCTAACCATGCTCGTATGTCAAAAGCCATATAATTTTTTTCAGTGTATTTGAATTAAAATTTTCGAAAAAAATAATTAATATTTCATTGAAATAAATGAATTTTTCTTTATGCTACCAATGATCTACGCGCAGTCTCCTTCGCTAATACCAATCAAGTTAGAGTGTACTATTCAGAAGCGCTCACTTATACTTCAGCTCTTAATATTATAATCCATTTTTACTATCAGCCTCTCAATTATTGTACAGAAAATTCAAGAGGTCTTCTAGTAAGTTATTATAGTTCTCAACGAAAAGCTCTTAGAATATTTCAAAGTACGTTTCTATAAGATCTATACTTTAATTTTCTAAAAATTAACTTTGTATGCTATCTGAAGCTAATTTTTAAATACTAAAGTTGAAAATTTTTAGAAATTAAGGACATACATCAGTAAACACTGTATTCGTAAAAAATACCAAGTAGACCTAAGTAGAAGATGTTACGTTAATATTAAAACTTAAAATATGTTAAGCTACCAAAAGAACTTAAAAGTGATTTTATTTTAATAAGTTTAAGTATATAGTTTAAAAAATTATGGATTTCAATAAATAAGTACTGAATTAATTATGTAGAAAATGAAATAAAAAACCTTTTCTCGTCTGAATGAAGAAGATACTCTGGAATATGAGGGGACTGAAACTAAGTCCTGAAGTTTCTTTTGGTTCAACCGGCTGAGCGTAGCAAATTGGTCCACGTATAGGACGATCTAGTTCGCTATGTGTTACACTTTTCAACCAAGCTCTATAATAGGTGGATATTTCTTGCCACGTGGTTGGAATTTCACGCGGTTTAAACATCTCCAAAATGTGTAAAAAAAATTACACTTAACCACCTAATTTGTTTCTTGTTAACACTATCTGAGAACACCATTACAACTTTTAGCAGATTATCACTAATTTTTGTGTTCGGACTCTTTTACAAATGGTTCCAAAATTCCTGTTAACTACAATATTTCAATACTTTTAGTTATTTTATGCTTTTATTTTCTCTAAATTTCTTTATATTTTGAATATATAGTGTATTAAATTTGTATAGGATTATTTACATATTGTAATTAATTTGAAAAGTAATGTTTATAAAACAAGTGGAATTATAAAAATATTTAGATAAAAGGTAAAATGTTTTAAGCAGTCGTAAAAATTTAATTTCTTCAATAAGAAGATTTAGTAGTTTTGAATATTTAGTTAGGATACATTTAGTAGTTTGGAAAAATGAGATGCAAAAGAAATGAAGCTAAAGAATATTGAGGCTACTATTTGAAATCTTTGATCGTGGAACCACTTTAAAAGAATATCATCAAAAAACACAGAGCGCGCACCAATTGCAAAAATAGATGATTTTTTTGCGGATTTCAATTTGCACCACAGTCCTTGAAGGAATTCATACTATTCGGAAACACATCGCTAACAAGAC